GGATCCGCACACATTACTCAGGAAACTGTCTTCTTACTATCCAGTTTTGAGAGTTTTTATATATTCTGAATACAAAGTGGTTTTTAAAAATCATATGTATGATTCACAAATGTTTTATCTAAGTCTATGTTTCTGTTTTTGTTTTTTTTGAGACAGAGTCTCCCTCTGTCACCCAGGCTGGAGTGCAGTAGCGCGATCTCGGCTCACTGCAAGTTCCGCCTGCCAGGTTCACGCCATTCTCCTGCCTCAGCCTCCCGAGTAGCTGGGACTGTAGCAGGACGAGCTGCAGACAAAACTCCTCAGACACCAGATTAAAGAAGGAAGAGGTTTTTCATTCGGCCGGGAGCGTCGGCAGACTCGCGTCTTAAGAGCCGAGCTCCCTGAAGAAGAAATACTCGGCCTTTTTAAAGGCTTACAACCTTAAGGGATCCATGTAGAAGGGTCATGATAAATCAAGCAAGTGTGGGGAACGTGACTGGGGGCTACATGCATCAGCTAACAGAACAGAAAGTTTTACAATGCTTTTTATCTTGCACAGTGTCTGGAATTTACAGAATACACAATTAGTTTTACGGTCAGGGGTTGATGTTATTATATTATTATTATTTGTTAACTCCTAGGGCCGGGTGGTGGTGCCAAGGTTGTCTGGCTATTTATCTTACTTTGTTTCTTCGTCTTTCTCCCTGTCTTGTGAACTAGCAAGGTGGCGGGGGGAGGAGGTCAGCAGTAGTAGTATGGTGTCTCCTTCCTTAGGACTACAGTGCCTGCCTCACACCTGGCATAATGTTTTGTATTTTTTGTAAGAGACGGGGTTTCACCGTGTGAAGCCAAGATGGTTCTCGATCCTCTGACCTCGTGTTGGGAATACAGGCGTGAGCACCGCGCCCACCGAGGACGTAGATTTTGCACTTTGTAAGTCTAAAATAAGCCTGTAATCAGCACTTTGGAGGTCGAGGCAGAGGATCACTTGAGCCCAGGAGTTTGAGACCAGCCTGACCAACATAGCAACCTCCATCCCTGGGAAAAAAAAAAAAATTAGAGCCTGTGCCCAGCTACTTGGAGGCTGAGGTGGGAGATTGCTTGAGCCCCAGGAGTTCCAGGATGCAGTGAGGCATGTTGGCCTACACTCCAGCCTGGGCAACAGAGCACGATCCTGTCTGAAATATAAAATGATTTATAAATAAACTGTGTTGTTCAAGCTCAGGGTCTGAGTTATGCACCGCTTATGATCTACTCCACAGAAGTTCCAATTTCTTTTCTGTGCAATGGTTCTGCCAGCCTTTCTGCCTCCCAGAGGTCCTGGTGGGTGGGCATCACAGGCTCCTTAGGGCTCTGTGGAGGCTCAGGGAGGAGCTTTCGCTTCCCTCCTGATACTGGTGCCTCCAGAGCTAGACAGGAAGATGGAAGCTGGGTGGCCTGAGCAGGGGTGGGGGCTTGGCTGGCCCTTCTGTCAGCTTGAGCTGGCTTGAGCCCAGGCAGGGCCCTGATAGCCTGGATAGGCTCAGAGGGAGGGAGGTGGGGACCAAGAGACCCGGGGAGGGCTCCTGGGGCCAAGACCCAGGTCCCTGCCCTGCATATCCGCCAAGGGACTTCCTCAGAAGCTGCTGATGTCAGGCTTTGGCTTCCTGCTGCAGAATGAGGGGATGAACTTCAAAGGGAGGACACTCAGGCCTTGGAGGAAATGAGAGCTTGGCCGACAGGAGGGCCTGGACTCGTGAAGACACATGGACACCCACAAACACAAAGACATGCGTGTGTGACAACGGACCAAGGGGCATGCAGATATGTATGCATGGTGCACACAGGCACTCTGGGCACAGCCCACTGGCACCGTCAACCGCTGTGTGGTGGCCTGCATCCCACCCTTCAGGCAGGCCCCGTGGGGCAGGTTTCAGGGAGGAAGGAGGCTGAGTGGGCAGTCTGAGGACGCGGCCACCACTGCTCCCTGGCACTGCATCTGTGTCCCAGGATCTAGGAGGCACTCTTCCATCACTGAGCCCCAAGATGACTGTCACACCTTGGTCTAAAGCCCTGGAGGAGCACACAGAGCCCCCAGCTGGGGCATATCTAGTTTCTGGGGGCGGGGGCGGGGGCGACACCCAGAGCAGGAGGAAGAAGGGATTCTGAGAGAGCCCGGCAGGCTCCAAGCCTCAGGCTGGAGCTGGGCTTGGGGCAGCAAGGAAGGACCAGGTGCGAGGGCAGAGCCATGCGGCCCGACCCCTGCAGCACGGACTGTACCTGCGTGTGGTCTCCCCCAGCTCCTGCTTCTGGGTCAGTCTGGACTTTGCCACGTCTGACCAAAAGCCACCGCAAACCCACTCAAGCCAAAAGAGGAAGTGGCCATTAGGCACAACTGCTTAGACTGGGAGGCCAGGGGCGCTCCAGGCGGGGCGAGGGAGGTGGCCGGGGGCGCTCCAGGCAGGGCAAGGGGGACACCCAGGGCTCCAGACAGGAGTCCTCAGGTGCCGCCTTTCCTCTGCCTGGCGGTGTGGGGTCTGTCCTCCTCAGAGTGACCCGCCATAGTCTCCCTCCCCACTCCGAGTTTCCTGTCCCAAAGTTCTAAGAAAGTTTCCAGAACTATGTCTCACCATCTTGAGTCAGCCTCGGCTCAGTGTCCATCCCACAGGCCCGGAAGGGGCAGGAGTCAGCGCTGTCCAGACCACAGGGCCTGAGTGTGGGGAGGGCTGCTGTCTTAGGTAGGCTGTGGATGGTTGTTACCTTGAGGCAAGAGGGCTGCAGGGCAGAAAGTCACGGCAGGTGGCTGTTGTGGAAGGCCCAGGAGAGGCCTGAGACAGGGATGGCCCACAAGGGTTGACCCTCCCGCCACCCAGGGAGCCCTTGTGCAGGGAACCCCTGCAACCGACTGAGGCTGGCAGGCATGAGGTTTCCTGAAGGAGAAAGAGCTTGGTGGGGCCCAGGGTGGCTGGGGGCCGCTGGGACTCCATTCGGAAGCCAAAGGCACTGGGAAGGGCTTCCGCAGAGGAGGGTGCAGCAGGGGTTGCCAAGAACAGTCTGGATGGGGGCAGGGAACAGATAAGGTGGGTGGGGGAGTCAGCCGGGAGCCTGGAGCTGGCTCCAGCATAACGTGGGGGTCTCCAAGGCCCTGGAGAAAGTGGGGTGATGCAGCAGGGGGCACGCCCACAGCTGGAGCTGACCCAGATGGACAGCTTGGGCTCTGCCACATGGGACTAGGCAAGGAAGCAGCACGAACAAGCAGGAAGTGGCGAGGCAGTTTCCAGCTGGCTTCTCTCCCCTGTCCAGACTTTGGTTTCCTCCCTGCCGGCCTGGCCTGGCTCCCTGGCTCTGTGTGGTATGGTCACACCCCCACGCACCCCCTCCACTGAGTTGGGGCGGGGAGAGCACTGAGGCTGCTCTTCCTTTCCTGGGCTGACCTCTGAGCAGCAGACGGGGCTGAGTGTTCCCCAGCTCGCCTCTACGCACAGCCCGTGCCACCGCAGCCGACGGCACCATGAAGGACGAGGTAGCTCTACTGGCCACCGTCACCCTCCTGGGAGTCCTGCTGCAAGGTGGGCTGGCTTCTATCAAGGAAGAGGGTGGGCCTCAGATCCCTACAGCCTGCCCTCTGCCCCTTAGGTCCAGGTGGAGGGCAGAGGCAGGGACTCCAGCCCAGGCCCAAGCTGGAGGAGGGTGGGGACTTCCAGGGACCTGGGGGGGCACCTGGCTGTGAGAGCTGTAGGACTTGGGGGTGGCAAGGGTGCCAGAACAAATGGTGGGATAGCCATGGGCTTGGGGAAGCTGAGCCCTGCTCTTTCCAGCTGTCCCCTCTCTGGGCGTCCCAGCAAGCAGCCCCCAGTCCCTGGCCCTGCTTCAAAGGAGGCACCTCCATACTGGGACCATGTGGAGCAGGGCAGAGGTGGGACTCCTTCCTCCAGCCCCCTAAAAGGAGCCTGCTTAATGCCTTTCTCAGACTGGCCCTAAAGGACACATTCCTGGGCCGGATATCCTAGCCACTTAGAGACACCACTGCCCCACAGTGTGTGCGCTAGGATAAGGCACAGCCTGGGGAGGGGGCTCTGAAGAGGCTGAACAGACAGGCCAGCCTGACCTCCAGCTGCACCCACACTGAGCTGGATGGCCACCCTGTGACACCCGTCTGCAGCGTGCCCAGCACCAAAGGTGCCAGGGCTGCAGGACTCAAGGGGAGATGGTCAGACGGGAAGTCTCGGGAGGGACTGCACAGCCAGCACTGGCCTGTGTGTGGTCTCGCCTGGCCTCCCCTGACGGAGGGAAGGGCTCCTGCTCACAAAGAAACTTTGGGGCCAGCCCACCCTCTGCAACTACCCCAGCCCTGGGGTCCTGGGGTTAGGCTAGGAGAGTCCCAGCTGCAACCTCCTGGGAGCAGAAGAGAAGGTGTCTGTCAGATTTAGGCCTGGGACCAGAATGCAGGAACAGAGAAACAGGTTTGGAGCCACAGGGACCCAGGCTTTAGTGATCCTGGCCTGAGGCAGGGTCAGAGGGCCCTGCTGGTGGGCTCTGGTAGGTGGGTGACCAGGGACTGTTAGCTACAGGGCGTGTGCTTCCTTGCACCTGGCAGGATGCGGCCAGCTCTGCCCTCAGGCTCCCGAGGCACTTGCTGGCCAGGGACCTGAAAGCTGCATTTGCCTGTGTTTTGCGAGTGAAATGATTCAGAAACAAGGACTCAGGTGATCTCTCTCTGAGCAGGTGTCCCTGTGCCTCAATCACCCACCCGCCCCCATACACTCACAGGTGGGACAGGGCCTCTCTGCGCCCCAGGCTTCAGTCCTGCCCTCCCCGCTGAATGTCAGGGACACAGGGCAGGCCAGGGATGGGTCAGACGGGAGGTCTCCTCACTCAGGAGAGAGCGGGGAATTGTTCCGCCTTAGGGAAGAGAGGACACGGCCAAGTGAAGGATCCTTCCCACTCCCATCTCCGGGGCTTCGGGTGTCCAGACCTGACTCCTGCTCCCCCTCCTCCCCCAGCCTACTTCTCCCTGCAGGTGATCTCGGCGCGCAGGGCCTTCCGCGTGTCGCCGCCGCTCACCACCGGCCCACCCGAGTTCGAGCGCGTCTACCGAGCCCAGTGAGGCGCGGCGGGAGGGCGCGGGACGGGGAGCGAGCCCCGGGCGGGTCCGGGTCGCAGGACCAGCCCGGCCGGCGTGCTCATCCCACCCGCCCACCGCAGGGTGAACTGCAGCGAGTACTTCCCGCTATTCCTCGCCACGCTCTGGGTCGCCGGCATCTTCTTTCATGAAGGTCGGGGTGTGGGGCTGGGGCGCACGCGCTGGACCCCCTGGCGGCCGCGCACCACGCTCACGAGGTCCGCGCGCACCTCTCGCAGGGGCGGCGGCGCTGTGCGGCCTGGTCTACCTGTTCTCGCGCCTCCGCTACTTCCAGGGCTACGCCCGCTCCGCGCAGCTCAGGTGAGGGCCGGGCGGGCAGCGGGGCGGGGCCGGGGAAAGGTCGCGGGTGGGCGGGGTCCTGGGGAGCGGGGCCCAAGCTGGGGGCGGACGACGGGCCGGAGCCCAGCGCCTTTGGGAATTCGGTGGGCGAGCCCTGGCGGCGGCCGGAGGAAGTCCCCGCGGGGCCGGGGCTGGGGCGGGGAAGAAGCGGGGCCTTCTCGCGCCACCGCCCCGCTGACCGCCGCCCGCAGGCTGGCACCCCTGTACGCGAGCGCGCGCGCCCTCTGGCTGCTGGTGGCGCTGGCTGCGCTCGGCCTGCTCGCCCACTTCCTCCCGGCCGCGCTGCGCGCCGCGCTCCTCGGACGGCTGCGGACGTTGCTGCCGTGGGCCTGAGACCAAGGCCGCTGGGCCGGCGGAGCCGGGAACGAAGAGCCGGAGCCTCCAGCTGCCCCGGGAAGCGGCGCTCGCCTCCGCATCCTAGTCTCTATCATTAAAGTTCTCGTGACCGAGACCCGGGCTGCGTTTTCTGGGTCCGCGGGGGTGGTGCACCGCGGGCTACGGACCCTGGAGGGGCCCAGCCCAAGCCCGGGCAGCCCGGTGGGCTTCCTAGAGACGGCGTGGGAGGGGCTGCGAAGGAACGGGACCTCCCCCTGGGGCGGGACTGGATCCGGTCTTCACCTCCCACCCCACTCCCTACTCAGCCTCCGGGTTACAAGGCCGCCCAGTCCTGCCGGGGTTCACCCAGCTAGCGCCCAGCGGTCTGCTCACCGGTCCCCCTCCTCAGGGGCCTCCCCTCTCCTGACTCTCAGCCACCCAGTCCCTCGTTCCCTGGCCTTCGCAGCTGACACTAGCCTGCAGGCGCGGGGCCCAGCACCTAGTTGTGCAGCTGCAGTGCCACCCACAGCCTGTGGATCTCTCCCCCTGTGAGGGCAGGGGCCTTTTGGTCAGCACTGGATCCCCCTTGTTAACTGTAGGTGTTCAGGACAGCCCTCCCAGGTCCGCAGAGCTGCAGGCACCATGGGAACATAGTGAGTCAGTGACAGGTGGTCTCAAGGAAATGTCCAGAAGGCTTGGAGATTCAGGGGAGGCCCACAAAACAAACAAGTGACTTTTAGCCGAGTATGCAGGAGAAACGGAGAAAGGAGAGCTTGCCAAGCAGGGGCAACGGTGTGTGCAAAGGCCCTGAGGTGAGCGGGAGACCCTAACGTGCCAGAGGAGGGTGCCGGGAACCCAGGATGAGGACCAAGCTGAGACACACGGAGGGGAACAAGGAGGCTGGGAAACGCCTTCAGCTTGAGGAGCTAAGGGAAGGCCTCATGGCAGGCCTTGGACGTGGGGGAGGCATTGGGGGACTTGCTGTGGGTATTGTGGTCCCACATTCTGAGCTGCTTTCACCAGTGAATTACTGCCTTTGCGGCCTGATCTTAGGAACGGGGGTGAGGTGGCGCCGAGGTGGCACTGCGCCTGCAGGCCAGGCTGGGTCCTTGACTTAGCAGGGCAAGCAAGGTCGCTGCTGATGCTGGGTGGGGAGGCCCAGTGCCGGGCTTAGTTGGCACGTTGGGGCACAGACCAGACAAACGAAGCCAGGCGCAGGGGCAGAGGGAGATGTCCAGGGCGTTCACATTGGAGGCACACACTTCATTAACCCTTTATTACAAGTCACGCTCTTATAGAAGTATATGTGGACTTACGTGAAAAAATCAAATGTATCCAAGAATAAAAAACACAGCACATAAAGTAGTATATGCATTCCAGTGTTCGCGCCAGAGACAGCGGGCGCCCAAGAAAAAGCTCTTCTAAAACGGCCTGACTGGGGCAGGCCGGGTGCGAACGGTTCCGGGCCTCAGGCACAGTGTGGGGGCCGCCTGCCTCCTCCGCGGCCCGGCGGGCGGGGGCAGCACCAGCTCCTAGGGCCTCCGGGCCAGCGGCGGACCCCAGGCTGGCCCAAGCCCGGCGCCAGGCAGAACCCTTCGGGCGGGGCCGTATCTGGCCCTCCGGGGACGGCAGTGACGACATCCCCAGAAACGTGGGCTTCAGGGCTGGCCACAGGGAGAAGCCCGCAGCTTAGTCGGCCTTTTTCAGGAAGATCTGGAAGAGCCAGACCCAGGGTCAGCAGGGCCTCTGAGCTCCGCCAGGGTCTCTCTGGCTACTCCCCGCGCCTGGCCTGGCCCTGCCCGGCCTCACCTCGCTCAGAATCACCCACACAGGGGAGTCCGTCTGGATCGAGAGGCGCAGCGCTTCCAGAGGGCCGAAGGCTGGGTCCACCTCTCCCTCTGCCACTCCCTTGTAGAAGGAGCCTGGGGGAGGGCAGCGCTGAGAGGGTGTCCCCGAACCCCAGCCCACACTCTCCCCCAGCCCCCTACCCACCAATCTGGAGGTAGCCGTCAGGGCTCCGAGGGTACTGGAGGGTGGCGGTGCGGCCCTCCTGCAGGGCCTCCTTGTCCGACTGAGGGTTCTAGGGGCAGAACCAAGGGCTGAAGCAGGTGGCTGCGGGAGGCCCGACCTCAACGCACACCACACCCTACCGCACTTACGTCGAAGGGCAGCACCTCCACAGACGTGTTGAAGAGCTTGTCCTCCGGGTGCTCGATGTTCCCACTGCGGAAGAAAAACCTGCGGCCAGGCAGGGCTGTGAGCTGTGCAGGGGCAGCGCTCCAGTACAGCAGCCAGCGCCCAGCAGAGAAAGGCCAGGCCTGCACCGGGGGGCCCCCAGGCAGCTGTCAGGCTGTCCAAGGAGATCAGGGCCTTCCTCTGGGAGGATGGTGAGGTGAAACATGGCTGAGCTCCTAAGGGCTGCCTGACTTAGTCCTCACAAGGTAGCTACCGTTAGGAGGCCCACTTCAGATGAGGACACTGAGGAATGTGAGGTTAGTTTGCTGGCGGAGCCTACACCTGGGGGCCACCCAGCCCCGCCCCCCATCGCAGACCCAGGTGCTGGCACTGACCGCTCCAGTCTCAGGGGCTGGAAGAAGCGGAAGCGGATGAAGTCCCCCGCGGCAGGGGTGAAGGCCCAGAAGAAGTCCTCGCGCAGGTAGGCTTTCTCCAGGGTGAAGTGCTGGTACGTCTTCAGGCTCGTGCTCACCTCTGCTGGCGGGTTCACATGCTCCTTCCGCAGCGCCTGCTTTCCAAAGTCCTTGTCCTGCAGCAGAGGAGGGACAGCAGTGATGGCATGGGCCCCGACCTGGACCGCGGCGTAGGGAGAGCGTGCAGGGCAGCCCACCTTCAGCTTCTGGATCTTGCCAGCCAGCGAGGAGTGAGTGCCCACATGCTGGAAGAGGGACGGCTTGAAGCGGATCCGCAGGTTGGCCTTCTGCCGGTCACAGTGCTTCTGTGGAGGGCGGGCGACACCCCAGGACTCGGCTGAGCCCTCCTTCCTCCACACGGCCTCTCCTGGAGGCTACCAGGGCCCTCCCACAGTTGACAGTGCCCTCTCTTATGTGATCAGATATAAGGACAGGGACAGTTTGTGCTGGAGGCTGCCTGCCCCTTGGCCCTGCCCCTGCCAGTCCCTCCAGCTCTTGCTCACCGCATCCTTCTCGGGGTTGCAGACCTTCACCCACAGAATATGGTCCAAGAGCCAGTCAATGGGCTTGTCCCGGTAGAACATGAGGATGAACTCTACAATCAGGCTCAGGTCCAGCGACTTGAACATCTTGCCTGGTAGGAAGGGGGCCTGAGTGGGCAGTGCTGCTCCGCCGTACTTCCTTTCTCCCTGCAGGGTGCCCCCGAGAGTCCCACAGCAAACCCAGGGCAGGCTTCAGGCAGGTGTGAGCACAAGGGGGCAGACAGGTGGTGAGGCCAGATAGGGCTGATGCACAGGCAATGGGAACAGGCCAGGCGGGGCTGCAGCACGCACACCAGGCAGGGCCCAAAGGCTCATAGTGGACTCAGCGTGGGACTGGGAGAGGACGGCAGAGGTGGGTGGGACTGAAAGGCACGGTCAGGTCAGGGGGACTCAGCGTGGGACTGGGAGAGGGCGGCAGAGGTGGGTGGGACTCAAAGGCACGGTCAGGTCAGGGGGACTCAGCGTGGGACTGGGAGAGGACGGCAGAGGTGGGTGGGACTCAAAGGCACGGTCAGGTCAGGGGGACTCAGCGTGGGACTGGGAGAGGACGGCAGAGGTGGGTGGGACTCAAAGGCACGCTCAGGTCAGGGGGACTCAGCGTGGGACTGGGAGAAAGGCACGGTCAGGTCAGGGGGACTCAGCGTGGGACTGGGAGAGGACGGCAGAGGTGGGTGGGACTGAAAGGCACGCTCAGGTCGGGGGGGGCGCACACCGATGAAGCCCAGCTGGGAGAACTCCAGGATCATCCAGTCCTCTGAAGGCTGCTGCAGCGCGAAGTTCTTCATGGTGCTCAGGTAGTTGGGCTTGGCCACGATGTCATCCTCCAGCTGCGGGTTGAGCAGAGAGCGGCTGGGGCTCAGGAAGGGCACCCCGACGGACGAGACCCACAGCAGGGCAGGGCAGCGCAGGGCTCGGGGCTGACCTGCACGTAGTAGATGCCTTTGGACTGCGCGTACATCATGAGGAAGCAGTAATCGAGGTTCTGTTTGGTCCTCCACCTGTGGGCCAGGGCGGGGCCTCAGGAGCTCAGACCCCTCCACCTCCAGTGTGGCTCCGCAGAGAAGCCGCTGGGCGGGCAGCTTCTGTCCCCCCACCCCCATGCACAGGTCCTCCCATGGAGAATTCAGGGCACTGCAGGGAAACGCCCTGGAATCAGATACCCGTAGATGGGTTCTCAGCACAGGCGGGCAGGCTGCTGGGGGTATGGGGGAGTGCTAGTACCTGACTCTCTCCTTGGGGTCCCCAAAGGACTCTCGGAGGCGGGAGAAGTCAGGGTAGAAGTGGGGGGAGGGTGAGATGACCTCCAGGAGCCCAGAATGGATCTCCGTGGGGAACCTGGGGGACGGGAAGGCCCAGTCCGTACGCAGCCTCCAGGGGCTGAGGGGGCCGAGCCCAGCAGACCCTGGCTCTTTCTTGAGGCTCACCCAGTGCCAGCCCCCCACCAGCCCCTACACCCAGCCGAGTGAGGCAGCAGGGCTCCACAGGGGCTTGGCCACTCTGCACACCCACCCCTCCCCCACCAGGTCCCTGCCTCCCCACAAGATAGGAAAGGCGCTACCTACGGGGAGGCAGGAACCTGCCAGCACAACACCCCGCAGAGAGCCCTCCTGCCACCAGCTCTCTGGGGCCACCAGTACTCACAAGGCCTTGATGTTCTCTGTCACTGCCGAAGTGTACTGTGAGTCGGTCTGTAGGGAGACCAAGCACCCTCCCTTAGTGCTGCCGCTGCCCCAAAAGGCCTGGAAGGGCTTGGAGAAGGGGCATGGCTTCAGATGCCCCCCACGTGGAGGTAGCGAGCCTGCTGTGCTGAGAGCAGAGCAAGGGCACCCCCAGAGACAGCCCTTTCCCTTTGGGACTGGCACGGCCAAGGGCGGGGCGAGGGGTGTGCCTAGGGGTAGAGGGCGCCGCGAGGGGTGTGCCTAGGGGTAGAGGGCGCCAGGAAGCCCCTTCTTTTCAACTATCTCAGAACATTTGCGAAGGAAACTAGCAACTGAGCTTCCCACAGCTTTCTCCTCCCGAATGGCTCCTGCTGTCAGTTCTATACCGCGGGGGCTCCTCTGAATGTCCCCCAATCCCGCGTCCTGGCTCACTTGCCTCAGCGATCAGCACCACGATGACCGAGTCCTCCTTCTCCTGCGGGCTCAGCTCGGAGATGAGCGAGTGCAGAGTGTCAGTCAGGTACGAGTGCACCTCGCGCCGCACGCTCGGGATGCCCATCACCACCGACACTATGGGGGACGGAGGCGCGACGCTGGGAAGGGCGCGGGGGGAACCCGCCCCCCCTACCCCGTGCTCCTCCCTGCCCACGCCCCTACCTCCCGTGCGGCCCTGGCCCACGCGCACCGCGGGCTGCAGACTGCTCTCCTTGGCCAGCAGGTGTGGCAGGTGGTGGAAGACGGTGGGCAGGTGCAGCACGTGCCGGTGTGAGCCGTTCCACGGCTTCAATCGGGGGTCCTCTGGGTGGGTCGTGAAGGATCGGGACTGAGACCAGGGAGCCTACAACCAGCCCACCCCCGCCTTTTCCCCCTCCCGCCCCGGACCTCACCTGTTAGGCGGCCCCAGGTGCGATTGCCGTCTCCGTCTCGCAGCGCCTGCCTTTCCGACACGGCCCTCTTGATCTCGTCCAGCACCAAGTTGAGCTCCTTGGAGCGCTTGAGGCTCTCCTGCTCAGCTGCGTGCAACCGATCGCGCAGCGCCAGGAACTCCCGCTGGTAAACGTCCACAACGTCGCCTGCAGGTGGTACGCAAGCCGTCACGAGGGGGCAGTCTAGAGCCGCCCTAGGGCCCCTTTAGTGCCAGCGCACACATCTGGGTGCCCATCTGTGCAACAGCTCATTTACATCTGTTCTCGTGCCTGCCACACGTGAGACAGCTGGGGTCACTCTGAAATTACACTGACACTAATGCTTGTGGGGAGAAAACCAGGGGAATTTGCCCTCTTCCCGGGGTTATTTTATTCTCTGAGGAGGCGTCTGAAGTGGGAATACAATTTCCAGACCTAGGTAGGTGGATCCTAAGCAAGGGCTGGAACAGCCTCAGACCGAAGCCGCTCTGTCCGTTGGCCTCCAAAGCCCACTCTTGCTTTTTGCAGCACATGCTCCTTCCAGGGCATGGGATACCCAAGGTCCTGGTGCTAGTTCTTCACTGTCCTCGTGGCAGTCGCTGGTTGCCCACCTTGCCCTGGATTGTTAGCCTCACAATGGCCCCGGGGGTGGCTGCTGCAGTTCCAGGAGCCCACCTCACTTCATTGCTCAAGGACAGTCAACAGCAGCGAGGGGACTAGCTCTGAATGCTCTGGTGCCTGTGTCTCTGGAGACCTGTGCTGTGCCTGGGGCACCCTGAAGGGTCCGCATGCACCCCCAGGGGACCCATGTCAGAACCTCCAGCTGGGCCCAGGCATGAGGGCTGTAGGCAGATGGGACAGCACACAGGTAGGGCTGCCCGACAGTAGAGAGGCACCACCAGTCTGGCAGGGACCAGTGAGCAAGACTGAGATCAACAACCTCCTGGTGGCTGGGTGCCCACAGTCCCTGCGGAAGTACGCTCAAGGCCTCTGCCAGGCGAGCCTCTGAAAACCTATGTGGCCTGCAAGGCCTTATGTTTCCAAGTCTCCAAGTTTAAGACGCCTGACGGAACTCCCCCACCCACAGACAGCTCTTCCATTCCTTCATCCTTGGTGGGTTCAGACCCCAGAGTTCCGTGGGACGGCCTCACCCCGCCAGCGGCCCTGTGCATGATCAAGGTCATGATCAGGCAAAGTCCAGTCACCTCAGGACACACCCCTTTCCAAAGCAGAGGCAGGAGGTTGAAGTGCCAAGCGACCAGGGAATAGGAAGGGGTGGACCTGGGCAGGAGGGAAAGGTGTAAGGAGCAGGGAGCCAAGTGGATCTTCCCTGAGGCATCTCTTACCCAAGAAGCTAGCCCCCGCCCTCCCACACCCTGCCTCTCTGGGGCTAAGGCTGAGGCCAAGTGGAGCCTCTGGACAGGCCCTGGCGGGAGGGAAGGGGGAGTCAGATTACCGGATCTGCCAGGCTCCACGCTGGGCTCAGGGGCTAGGTTACCCTGGAAACCTGACCCTTTGAATGCAGAGCTGGCTACCCCCAACACTCACCCATTGCTGGGCGACACCGAGGTGTAGGCAGCGGTTGCCCACAGGGATGGGACTGGAGGTGCAGAGGCCTACAGAGCCACCAGGAGTGGGTTCAGAGCCACCTGCACCTGCAGGTGTGCCTCCCTCCTGCCTAGATGCCAGTCCCCGCTTGCCTACTTACAGCCACTGCCCATCCCCGAGCCCCACCCTGGCTTTCTCTGTCCCACATGACTGCCTCAGATGGACAGGCTGGGTGGGCAGTGGTGGGTGACGCTGCCTCAATCACCCTGGAAACAGCCTGCTCCTTACCCTGGCTTCCTTCCTAGGGGCCTCCCCTCTCCCCCAGGTCCTGTTTACCAGGAGGTAAAGGGACCCACGGGCTCCTGCCTACACCAACCCTTCTGTCATTTCCCTTCACACTGCAGGCCCTGGCCCTGGGCAGCCTCCCCCGCCTGCCAGCTCCCCCACCCGCCTTGCCCTCAACTGTGGGTCGAACTCTGTGACTGCCTCCCCATGGGCCAGGCCCCATGCCAGGGCTCTGCCAAGCCATGCTGACACCCTATAACCTCCGGGAGCTGGGGAGGCAGCTCAGGTGAGGAGAGGGGCCAGCCTGGGAGCCCCTGCCACACCTTCCTGCCTCAGGGCCACATTGTTAAGAACAGCAGCAATGAGGCCTGGAGGTTGTGTAACCCTCCCTGGAGGCGAGTTATTAGGACCCCCTGAGGCCCGCAAACCACAGTTCCCCCTGCTTCCCTCTTGGTTGGGAAAAGATTAAAGAGCCAAGCTGGGGCACAACCTTTGTGCCCTGTATTCAGGGAAAAGGGACAGGATCAGAGGAGCATAGGCAGGTATCAGGCCCGTTAACGGTCTGCTGTCACCATGCATGTGTGCGGCAGATGTCTGTCTCCTCTCCAGACCCTGCACCCTCCTAGGAGTCAAGGAGGGTGTCCATCATTGCTGAGGTCCAGGCCTGGGGAGGGGGACAGCCTGGAGGCTGGGAGAGCTGTGTGGCTGAGACCCTGGGCCGCCCCCAAGGGTCTGCCTCCCTGGGCAGATCCTCAGCAGGTGCTTGGCTGAAGGCCACAGTTTGAGTGCTGGCAGAGCTGCTCCACAGGCCAGATAGGAAACTGGGCCCCAAACCCTTCTCCAGGGTCCATTCTGCATTAGTCTAAAGAGGCCGTCCTGGGCTCGACCTTGGGCTTCCAGGATGACGCCCGCACCTGCTGCCCTTCCTCTCTGGTTCCCTGCCCACCTCCTTCCTTCTCTGCAGATTCCACTTCCTGGGTTCTTCCCTCAAGTTCCTGGACCCCCGCTGGCTGCAAAGTGGAGGCCAGGTTCCAATTTGGCCTCAGACTGGCTAAGCCTGGTTTCACCAGGGGCTTAAGACAGACTTTCTACATGTGACAATGAGATGGGTTCACATAACAGCCTGGATTCCTAGCTTCTCTTGTGGCCTCCAATGACCTGGTCCTACTGAGTCACCACAGAAACAGTGACAGCCCCTCAACAAGGCAGGCCTAGGTCACCCCCTCCTCATGCCTCACAGGATCCTTAGGCTTCCCTCCCCTAGGGGCTGGGTCCTTGAATCTAAGTGCTCCTCTTCTTAGCTCTCCTGTTCCCCAGGCCCTCAAAGAGCCAGCCTCCTGGATGCTCCCCAGGCACAGTGGGTCCCACGGAGCCAGCGCCTCTCCCTCCCTCTGCTGTCCCGGAGACTGGCTCCCTGTGGTAGGCCAGGCTTGCAGAGGTGGCTCCTGACATCAATCTGGGGGCATGTGGCTGCTGTGGGAGACACACACTGGCTGAGGACAAAGGGCAAGGGCTCATGGCTCTACCCACGACTGGAAGAGTGTGCCCCAGCCCTTCAGATAAGGCCCCACCTAGGCCTTCATGCCAGTCTGCTACTCACCCTGCCAAGGACCCAGAATGTCCTTCCCCAGGTGACACACCCTACCTACAGATAATTCTGCCCCAGTCATGCCTGCCCTTGATAATATACGCCACCACCGGGGCCTCTGCCCCAGCCATCCCTCCCCTGTCCGGCAGTCTCCCCGCAGAGTCCCTGGAGCCCCAAGGCCAGCCCAGGCCTCTGCTCTGACAGAACAAGTGCGGCCGGCGGGCGCGCTGGCAGAGCTCGGTGAGGGTAGCTGACGCTCGGAGGGTCCGGAAGGGTCCAGGTCCTCCCAGCCTCCTCAGCCTCTCTGGGGTGGCGCTCCGGGACAGGGAAACAGGGAAGCAGGTGGCAGGGAGGCCAAGGGGGCAGGTGGCCTCAGCCCGCTTAGGCCTCCAGCAGGCAGGCAGGCAGGAGGCCACTCTGCCGGAACCTCCAGGCTAGGGGAAGAGCGCCTCGGAGGGCTCAGGCCCTACTCGGCCCCACCATCGCCAAGACCGGTCAGGGGGGCGGGGGGCGGGGGGTCGGTCTGCACCCTCCGCCTGCAAGAGCGCTGGGCGGACGCGGAGGGCGGGGGCCAGCCCGGGAAGCTCGGGGTGCGGGGGAGGGGCTGGGGCCGCACAGGAGCGCAGGGCAGCAGTGGCCGGGCTGGCTCAGGACGCCTCTCCCTCCCTCCCCCGCTCCCATAGGCCGGATGCTGCCGAGGCGTTCCGGGCGCCCGGGGGTCGGCGAGGGAGACCCAGGACCGGGTGTCACGCCGGGGTCGCCCAGGCCGGCGCGGGGCAGCGGGAGGCAGGGTCGGGGGAGGGCGGGTGGGGGGATGCCTGACCGCCTAGCGGTGCCCTCGCGCCTGTGTCCCTCACGCCGGCCCAGGTCCTGCCCAAGTGACTGTGGCTGGCGTTCCGGGACATCTGTGACCTTGGGTCTGTGCCGAGACCCCCACGGGTCCCCAGCTCAGCTGCGCCCGCAGAGTCCGGTCCGGGGCACCCACGGGCGCGGCCAGCGCTGGGCGGGCAGGCGCAGCCCGGGCCCGAGGAGGACGCCGCGGCTCCAGCAGCAAACAAGTGGGGGAGGGTGGGAGGGGCGTCCTCCGCGCCGCCCGGGCGGGGAAGGGGCGCCTGCGTCGGCTTCCGGCCGCCTCCCGCGGCCACCGCCGGGCCCGCTCCCGCCGCCGACGCCCAGGTGCGCCAGGTGCGGGCCGGGCCGGCCGGGCGGGGGTCGCGCTTACCTTTCTGGCCGCTGAGTGCCGCGTACCAGGACAGCGAGAGGAAGGCGCACAGGCAGAAGAGCAGCAGCGTCAGGAAGGTGCCATTGCGGAGCCTCATCTCCTCCGATGCGCGGCGGGCGCCCGCGGGGCCGAGGCTGCATGGCCCGGGGAACCGGGGCTGGGGCGCAGGGGTCGGAAGGCGGCGGCTGCAGGGGCCCCGGCCCCGGGGCGGGGAGGGGCGGGGGGCCCGGGGCCGGGCAGGGACCGGGCCGGGGAGCGCGCCTGCCGCTTCTCAGGGCGCAAGCTTTGTGCCCTGTACTCAGGGAAAAGGAACAGGCTCAGAGGAGCAGAGGCAGATATCAGGCTCACTGCAGGTATCAGGGGCGCGGGACACTGGCGGCCTCGCCTCCGCGGCAGGGCCGGGCCAGGCCGGGCTGGGCTGGGCTGGGCGGCGAGAGCCGCGGCCCGGCCTGGATCTGGGGCCTGGATCTGGGGCCGCCGCGGAGTCGACGGCGCAGGGCGGGGCGGCCCGGATTTAAAGGGGCCGCAGCACCGCCGCCGCTAGCGCCGCGAGGGGCGGGGTGGGGGCCGGCGCCCGCGATCCCGACCGGCTCCCGCAGCCCCGCTTGGGCTCGTGCGAGTCGGCCTCAGGTAAGGCCGGAGTGGGAGTGCGGGTCGACCGCAGCCGGCGCGGGCGGCGGGGGCGGCGCTCCCGGGCCCAGGTACTCTTCTCGGCAACATCTCCTCCGCGCGCGGACCCCGACCCCACTCGCACGTTCTCTGGGCTGTTTCCCGAGCGTGAGGGGCTCTGGGTGGCGCGGGGGACTGGGCGCTTGGAGCCGGGAGCCACCGTTGCCTTCGGCGCCGCCCAGGGCGCTTTCCCGCTCAGGAGCTTCCTCTGGGGCGCGGGACTGAGACGCGCAGGGGCCCGGGAGGCGGGAACAATGGGCCGTTCTAGGGGGAATCAGGGCCAGTGCTCGTGGGTGCAGAGGAATGACCAGCCCAGAACCGGACCGGCTTCCCGGGACAGTGGCGGCCCAAGCGCGCCGCTTACGGGAGCAACGGGCCCTGCTCCCGATGGTGCAGCGGCCACCTCGCCCCGCGCAGCCCAGCCGGCTCTTGATAGGGGCCCACGCCTTCGTTCGGATTTTTGTGGTTTTTTTTTTTTTGAGACAGTCTCGCTCTGTCGCCCAGGCTGGAGTGCAATGGCGCGATCTCGGCTCACTGCGATCTCAGCCGGGTAGTGTAGCCGGGATTACAGGCGCCCGGCTAATTTTTTTTTTTTTTTTTTTTTTTTTTTTAAGACTTTGGGCAGCGCCTGGCCCGCTCCCAGCTTGGACCTCCCAGTCCTAGGGGCCCGGTTCCGGGTGGAGGCTGCAGGGACCTCTGCTCTGCTCGCTCGGGGGAGGCCTGAGGGGCTGGACTCAGACTGGGAGTGAATGCAGCTTTGTCTTCCTAGTCCAGCCCCGGCCCACACGTGGGGCTGGGTGGAATCGGGAGCTTCTACGGGTCTGGACAATTCTCCCACAGAGAGATTGATGCCAAGAAGTGGGTGGCCGAGCCAGAGGCTGAGGTGGGCTGGATCCTGAGGCCCAGTGTTAAAGGACAGGGCTCCCCATTCAGTGCTCCTGGAACTTTCCGAACTAGAGACTGGGACTTGTAGGCGCCTTCTAGAGGAAACTCGTGTTTTCACAGGTGTCTTCTATGTGTGGCAAAGGATAATGGCTTTTCACTTAGGCTGTGGCATAAAGGGCCTTAGAAATTGTTAATAAGTTACTTAACGTTAAAACTTAGTCACCCAGGCCGGGTGTGGTGGCTCATGTCTGTAATCCCAGCACTTTGAGAGGCTAAGGCGGGAGGATCATTTGAGCTCACCAGTTCGAGACCAACCTGGGCAACATAGTGACACCTCATCTCTATAAAATTAAAATTTTTTAAACAATTTTTTTTGGATTTTTTTTTTGTAATTTTTAAAATATTTATTTATTTATTTATTTATTTTTGAGACACAGTCTTCCCTTGTCGCCCAGGCTGGAGTGCAGTGGCGTGATCTAGGCTGACTGCAAACTCCGCCTCCCGGGTTCATGCCATTCGCTACAGGCGCCCGGCACCACACCCGGCTAATGTTTTGTATTTTTTAGTAGAGATGGGGTTTCACCGTGTTAGCCAGGATGGTCTCGATCTCCTGACCTCGTGATCCACCTGCTTCAGCCTCCCAAAGTGGTGGGATTACAGGCATGAGCCACCACGCCCGGCCTTTTTTGTTTTGTTTTTAAAGATGGAGTCTCGCTCTGTTGCCCAGGCTGGAGTGCAGTGGCACAATCTCGACTCACTGCAACTTCTGCCTCCCAGGTTCAAGGAGTTCTCCTGCCTCATCCTCCTAAGTAGTTGGGATTACGGGCGCGCCCCACCACACCCAGCTAATTTTTTTGTATTTTTAGTAGAGGTGGGGTTTCACCATGTTGGTCAGTCTGGTCTCAAACTCTTGACCTCGTGATCCACCCACATTGGCCTCCCAAAGTACTGGGATTACAGGCATGAGCCACTGTGCCTGGCCTTTTTTTTTTTTTGAAACGGAATCTTGCTCCGTGGCCCAGGCTGGAGTGCAGTCAGGCAATCTTGGCTCACTGCAACCTCCGCCTCCTGAGTTCAAGCGATTCTCCTGCCTCGCCTGAGTAGCTGGGATTACAGGGATGTGCCACCATGCCCAGCTAATTTTTGTATTTTTAGCAGAGACAGGCTTTCACCATGTTGGTCAGACTGGTCTCGAACTCCTGACCTCAGGTGATCCGCCTGCCTCAGCCTCCCAAAGTGCTGGGATTACAGGTGTGAGCCACCAGGGGCGCCCAACCTAATTTTTGCATTTTTAGTAGAGATGGGGTTTCACCATGTTGGCCAGGTTGGTCTCCAACTCCTGACCTCAGGTGATCCGCTTGCCTCGGCCTCCCAGAGTGCTGGGATTACAGGCGTGAGCCAGCGTGCCGGGCCAACAATTTTTTTTAATTTTAATTTTATTTTTATTTTTTATTATACTTTAAGTTCTAGGGTACATGTGCACAACATGCAGGTTTGTTATGTATGTCTACATGTGCCATGTTGGTGTGCTGCACCCATTAACTCATCATTTACATTAGGTGTATCTCCTAATGCTATCCCTCCCCACTTCCCCCACCCCACGACAGGCCCTGGTGTGTGATGTTCCCCTTCCTGTGTCCAAGTGTTCTCATTGTTCAACTCCCACCTAAGAGTGAGAACATGTGGTGTTTGGTTTTCTGTCCTTATGATAGTTTGCTCAGAATGACGTTTTCCAGCTTCATCTATGTCCCTACAAAGGGCATGAACTCATCCTTTTTTATGGCTGCATAGTATTCTATGGTGTATATGTGCCACATTTTCTTAATCCAGTCTATCACTGATGGACATTAGGGTTGGTTCCAAGTCTTTGCTATTGTGAATAGTGCCGCAATAAACATATGTGTGCATGTGTCTTTATACCTGCATTATTTATAATCCCTTGGGTATACCCAGTAATGGGATGGCTGGGTCAAATGGTATTTCTAGTTCTAGATCATTGAGGAATCGCCACACCGTCTTCCACAATGGTTGAACTAGTTTACAGTCCCACCGACAGTGTAAAAGTATTCCTATTTCTCCTTATCCTCTCCAGCACCTGTTGTTTCCTGACTTTTTAATGATAGCCATTCGAACTGGTGTGAGATGGTATCTCATTGTAGTTTTCATTTGCATTTCTCTGATGGCCAGTGATGATGAACATTTTTTCATGTGTCTGTGGGCCAACAATTTTTTTTTTTTTTTTTTTTTTTGAGATGGAGGCTTGCTCTGTCACCCAGGCTGGAGCCCAGTGGCGCTATCTCACCTCCTGCAAGCTCCGCCTCCCGGGTTCACGCCATTCTCCTGCCTCAGCCTCCTGAGTAGCTGTGACTACAGGCCCCGCCACCATGCCCGGCTAATTTTTTATATTTTTAGTAGAGAGGGGGTTTCACCGTGGTCTCTATCTCCTGACCTCGTGATCGCCCCGCCTCGGCGTCCCAAAGTGCTGGGATTACAAGCGTGAGCCACTGCACTTGGCCAGGCCAACAATTTTTTTAAGGAAAAAAAAAAAAAAGTGAGTCAGCTGGGCACTGTGGCCTACACCTGTAATCCAAGTGAGACAGCCAAGTATAAAGGGGTCCCGGAGAAACTCCCACCTGCCGAAGCACTGAAAGAACTGGGTGGAGCCACAGAAGCTCCCACTCTTTGCTGGGGAGGAGCTTGGCCTCTTCTGTTCTGGGTGGAATCTGGGATTCTGTCTGTGAGGCGAGAGACCAGCTAGCGGCACTCTCTGAGAGTCCCTGTTTCCCCTTTTTTCCCTCTTGCCCAATAAATTACATTTTTCTCACCCTTCAAAGCGTCTGCGAGATTAATCTCTGATGGCCGCGGGACAAGAACCTGGCTTTTAGCTGAACTAAGGAGAAAGTCCTACAACAGTTTGGCGTGCAACATGGGGCTTGAGAAAGGGTGAGTGAGATGCAAACCAAGACATTTCTTTCCTCTCTCTTTTTTTTTTTTTTGAGACGGAATCTGGCTCTTCCGCCCAGGCTGGAGTACAGTAGCGCAATCTCGGCTCACTGCAAGCTCCACCTCCCGGGTTCACTCCATTCTCCTGCCTCAGCCTCCTGAGTAGCTGGGACTACAGATACCCGCGGCCACGCCCGGCTAATTTTTTTTGCAGTTTTAGTAGAGACAGGGTTTTTACTGTGTTAGCCAGGATGGTCTCGATTTCCTGACCTCATGATCCACCTGCCTCAGCCTCCCAAAGTGCTGGGATTACAGGTGTGAGCCACCACGCCCGGCCTTTTCCCTCTCTTTCTAAGCCTATTTATCTTCGGACTTCTGAGGGGGAGGATATGGGAAACTGTGACCCCACCCCCGTTGTTCCCGGGGGTCGGGAAGGTTGGCCTTGGTCTCCACGGCGTTTTCCTTCCTTCTGGACAGATGGGCGAAGGGCGGTTCTCTGTCACCCAGGCTGGAGTGCAGTGGCTCCACTTCCGCTCACTGCAACCTCCATCTCCCGGGTTCGAAGGAACCTCCTGTCTCAGCCTCCTCCCAAGTAGCTGGGATAACAGGTGTGGACCACCATGCCTTGCTAATTTTTGTATTTTTAGTAGAGATGGGGTTTCACCATGTTGGCCAGGCTGGTCTCTAACTCCTGAACTCAGGTGATCCACCCCTCTCGGCCTCCCAAAGTGCTGGGATTACAGTAGTGATCCAGCCCCCAGGCATTTTTGAACTTTTTTCTTTTCTTTTCCCCACCGGGTCAGAAGTTGATTTTTTTTTTTTTTTTTTTTGAGATGCAGTCTTCCTGTGTTGCCCAGGCTGGAGACGCTATCTCGGCTCACTGCAAGCTCCACCTCCTGGGTTCACGCCATTCTCCTGCCTCAGCCTCCCGAGTAGCTGGGACTACAGGCGCCCGCCACCACACCCAGCTGATTTTTGTATTTTTAGT